ATATATATAAATTCCAAGTAGAGATGACACACTGAAAGAATAATTACCCAAATTCATTTCTATTAACTACCAATTTCATCACTACAGATACTGCTGTAGCTTGGATGCAGGCTTGACCTCATAACTAGCTGTGTGACCTGGGACAATTTACTTAATGCCTCTGAGTGTCAGTTTTATCATCTGCAAAATGGGGATGTGAATACCTATTTTGAGGTGTTAATGACAGTGTTGACTTTTAGGAGGTATTTAGCAAATGAGACCCTACTATAATCATTAAATATTCTTCTACGGAATCTGTAAATCCAAGCTTTAATTAAGAAAATATAATTCCACTTGGTTAACCATTAAGATAAAATATGTGAAGGAAAAACTGTGATGCAACTTTATCAGTAATGCAGTTATGTTAAGTGTACAGATGCCTCTTGGCCAGGGTTTCCTTCTCATTGAGGACTGTCCAGCAAACCCAGTAAGCTTCCCCAGAGTTATGGAGTGAGCTCCATTTTTTTTTTTTTGAGTTTTCTAAGAAGAGGCTGGCTACCATCTGTCAGACAGCTGATACAAGGCTGTTTCTGCAAATCAACTACTTGGAAGCCAGGGCTGAATTTGTCATTAGGAACTTCCAGTTTGGATAGTCACCAAGGAAGATCCTAGGAAATCAAGCCAAAGTCTCTTTGTTCTACTAGTTTGGCTTGCCTTGGGAAAAAAATGCAGCTTTTTGAAGCTAGCTAGCTAAAGGAATTAATATGATACAAACACTTGACCGATATGTGTCTTATTGTTACATTTCCCAATGTCAGGCAGGGACTTCAAGCTGTTGACATTTTCACATGCTGGTACTACTGGAGCAACCTGTAATGTTGGCATTGCCCCAGGATCAGTGGATCCCATTCAGAGTCTGTGCTCTGCCCATCACAGTCTGTTCTCTTTGTCCTCTGGAAAGTGGTACTTTTTTGTCCAAGAAGCAGGCACTCCCAAGCCAGGCTCAGGCACACAGTAACAACTCATGCCAGTCCCATCTGTCCAAAGAAGTCTTGAGGTTCCTTACTGGTTCTTGTGTTGTGGGCAGGGGTGTGAGAAGAGCAAACTAACTACATACTATGGCAAGAATGTTCCTGGGTGCCCAGCCAAAGTTCCCTTCATATAAAGAACATTTTCAGATTAATTTGAGGTGAGCCTTACGCATCTGGGCTGTATGAACACCCCTTCTGCATCCTAGTGCTACTTTGGGGTATAGGACACATTGAATGCACACTTTTTTCCATTTAATGACATCATTTTCTCAGGATTCAACTGGAGGAAGGCTCTACTGCTAACCTTTAAAAAAGGTATTGGATACACTGGACAAGGTCTGATTCTAGCATGTGGAAGAAGCAACCGTGCAAAGGATATGAATGGACAGAAACTTTGATGGCCGTTCTTCTGATCGGGTGGAAAGGACTGAATAGCCACAGGGCCCTAGTGGCACTAAACCGGAAAATGGTCCTCCCCTTGTTCAGCACCATGAATGTCTAAAACAAAACAAAACAAAGCAGAGGTGGACCTCTGGTGAGAAACAAGCCTCCTCACAGAACTGTGCTTTTGAGCATTAGTGCCATCATCTCCGGCTCATGAGCAAGTCAATGAGAGCCAAGTGGAGCTGCAGAGAGCTCGGAAGGATCAGGGACTAACAGCAGTATCCCGACCATCATGGAAAGGCCCAGACCCTGCCAAGCTGAGCCCCCAGGAGGGCTGTCTGGCCAGGCAGCCTGGCCTGGGGCTGGTAAGAAGTATCAGGCTCAGGATGAGGATTCTGGCAGCAGGAAGGTGGCTTTTTGGTTAGATTGAATTCCTCTGGAAGCTTTGGTGGCATTTGATGCCTAAGGCATTTGAATGCTAACCAGAAGGTTGGCAGTTCAAACCCAGCAGCCACTCCATGGAAGGAAGGCTGAGCAATCTATTTCCATAGAGATACTGCCTCAGAAACCCAAGGAGGGGTCGCTATGAGTAGGATTCAACTTGACGGCAGTGAGTGTGACTAGAGGACCCTTCCCGACCTTGTGATGCTCCTTCTGTTCTCCACCTTCTAAACCTCCTCCTCTTAAGCCCTTTCCTGGCACCTGGAGGGTGAAGGCTCTTGGCAAGGGGGAAGAGTGAGGACAGATATCCAAGTGCCTTTTTATTTTTTCTACAATCCATATTTGAGATGGCTGATTTTTGCCCCTCCCAATTCCTAAACTCACATATACCATTTTTTTTTTTTTTCCTGCTATGTAGAACATTCAAAATGCAATACAAGCAAGGTAATTGCCATGGAGCACTTCCTGTTAAAACTCGTGGCTCTCAACTTTTTTATTACTGAAGACCTCAAAGAGTTTTGGTTTATATGGGAGATACAGGTATAGAAATTTGCCATTTTAGAAACTCAAACTGAGTAGATGTTAAAACACAGGAACATAGGGGCACACATTCCAGTAGCTGTTAGAGCAGTAACACAGCCTCACATCAACAGTCTCTACTGCACATTCACTACTGTATGCTCACATGAGAATGTGAGTGAAAAAGACTAAGGATTTCTAAATTTCTAAATATTATTAGTTTTGACTTCATGCACCCACTAATCCACTAAAAGGGATCTGGGGACTCTAGGGGTCCCAGGACCACACTTTGAGAACCACTGGTTTTGACTTCTCTCCCCATTCCCTATACTCAAGATCTGTGTTCTTGAGGAGAGAGGGTGGTGTACAAAGACAGCCAACACCTCTGGAGCCAATACTCATCTAAGGGAACAGCCAGCTTTCCCAGCAACCTCTGCAATAGTTGTCACTGCTTTGGAGGATTTGGTTTTAATTAGCCTCTATCATTAAAAAAAAGATTCAAAGAGGGTGTCAAAAAAGGTGAGCTAGATTTTTTTTCCCCCCATTAACTAAGTAGACTGCCACACCACCCAGGGTGCAGGAGGACTCCCTGGGCTGGCTGGGATGGCGAACTTCCTCTCCCAGAGGTGAGAACAGCCCTTACCCAGTGTGTGCTGTAAAAAGGGTCCAGATCCTCCAAGGGCTCCCCGATCAGTTCTACTGGGAGCTCGCCATAGAATTTAGGCAGCTGGTTACAGGCTTTCAAGTCTAGCTGGGGCCGAGGTTTCTCTTCTCCATCCTTCCGCTCCTTGTGCTTATCTCTGGGTTTCTTTGCTGCCCGCTCTGCTGCAGTTTGCTTCTCAATCTCCACCAGTGACTCTGGAGTGAACCGACGGAAGTTGGTAGTTCCCAGAGATCCGAAAGGGAATTCCATCTTATTCTTCTTCAAGAAAAATTTATGTTCTTGTGAAAGTGGATAAAACTACAGAAAAGTAACAGTCTGCCCATAGATCCTCTCCCTCCCATCCCTCCCACCTTGCTTGCTAGAGCAGCAATCCCAGCCCTAGCCTTCAGCTCCTCCCTTATCTCACCTGGGCTCCCCTGGACCCCATTTCCCTTGCCGCACTTTCAGGGGAGGCTGCATGTTTTTGCTCCCATGTACTTCTAAGTCATTGCTCTTTCATCATTCTGTAGACCTGCCTCACGCCATCACCCCAGCCAAATGGCTCATTTAGCCATACTTCCTTTTCTTCTCATTTCTGGAAGCACTGAGCTCCAAACATTCTCCCTCATTGATCAAACACTTTGGCTCTTGATCTACTTCACCCCAAGTCTCATCCCACTTTCTGATCACAATCTTTTATTTCTGGACATTTTCCAACCGTTTCTCCCCCTCTTTGAATTCCAAACAGACTTCGAGGCTACATTCTCTTTATCCCTTGGCTCCTCTGAACTCTTTTCTCCATATTCAGATCAGAGTCCATGGTTCATTATTTTAAGCACTCCTGTTCTTATCCCAAATCTCAAACTTAGATCAATCTAGACCTGAACTGTTGAGGGGTCTGAGAAATATCAATACTGCCTGGAAACAATAGTGTTCCCTATCCAGCAGTTTCTTCAGCCTGATATTTCAAAGATGTTCCATCTTTTCTAACTATTCTGTCTCCCCTTGCAGTAAGCCAATGACCATGTATCCCACATCATGGAGAAAGCAGAGGTCCCTCAACTTCCTGCTCCTAATTCTCTAACTTACCTGCATCTTCACTCTTCCTCCCTCTGTCCCTCCAGTCACAGCAGGGGAGGAATCAGCTCCCATTCAGGCCAATGTGTTCCTCTGCTTTGGTTCTTATCCCCTCTCTACCTCATTCAGCTCTCCCTCCTTTTGTACTGGCTCCTTCCTATCTACATTTAGAGACACTTAAGTCTCCTTCATCTTTAAAAACTTTCTCGATACACAGCCCCTTCAGACCTTCCCTCCTGATTGCTGCCCAGTTTCATAAAGGATTTGTTTCCACTCATTACCTGCAGTCACTCTTCAATTCTTACAGCTTGACTTTTGCCCCCACTGCCTCACTAAAATGTCTCTTTGCAAGGACACTAGAAACTAAATCCAGGGGACCATTCTCATCCTTTCTTGATGGTCCTATTTGGCTGTTTTGACCACTTCATCCTTCTTGAAATACTCTCTCCCCACAGCTGCTGGGACCTACTCTCTAAGCACTTCTAACTTTATGCCTGCTCATTTTCAATCTCTTCCTCAGCTTTTCCCATACATGATTGTCAATCTTGGGATTCTATGTTATGCTTTACTATTATTATTATTAACAATAATAATAGTAACAACAACAAAAGTACTGATAATAGCATTTACTGAGAGTCCACTCTGTTCTAGACTCTGAATTAAGCAATTTATATGATCACAATTACCACCACCATACCATATGAGCAATTCTCTCCAATATATACATGAGAACAAGAGAGGTGAAGTTACCTTTTCTTAGAGCAGATAAGTGCTAAGGAGTAGAACAGGCACTCAAGCCCAGATCAGTCTTACATAATCTTTTGGAAGCATCATATCCATTCCTATGGCTTCAATTCTTATCTAGGAATAGATGACTCTTAAATCTTTATCTCTAGCTCTCATTATGTCCTCACAGTACAGACCCCTATTTGGCATCTCCACTTGAGTCTCATGAGCACTTAACTCAACACACCCAAAGCTGAACTCATTTATCATCACCACTCCTTTCTAATATCTGCCTCTCCACTATGGTTTTCTCCTGTAAATCGGCCTAACGAACCTATTTCTGTCTCTGCTCACAGCCAGGTATCATAGTTGTGTCTTTTCTCTTTCATCCCTATATCCAGTCAGACATCCTCTACTGTTGATTCTTCCTTAGCACCTTCTGCTCATGTTTCTCCAATCTCTCATGTCACTGGTCCAGCCACGGTCATCTCAATGGCCTATGAGTCCAATTTCCTCTCCTTTAGTCCTTTCTAACCCATTCTCCAACTGTAACCAAATGACTTTTCTAAAATGCAAATCTGATATTATATATTTATTTAAAATCCTTCCTTTAGAACTCAAGATAAATCATATGCTTACTTCTCCAGCACTACGGGGATTCAATTTTCTCCTTGAATAGGACCTATTCTTTTTTCATTTTAAGACCTTTCCATATTCCATTTCTTTTGCCTAAAATTATCCCCTTACTTTGCTTCATCTGGCTAATCCCCACTCATTTATCATTCTTGAACTCTTGACTTTGAGATAACTTCCTCCATTTATGATTGTATATGAAGTCTGCATTAAGATTCTCATTTTATGCCCCCATAATTCTCTGCACATTCTCTACCAAAGCACTTACCCCTGCTTTGTAATTACTGTTTGCCTTTCTCTATCTCTTACTAGATTGTAAGCTAAATGAAGGCTGGGAACATATTTTTCCTGTTCGTCATTGATCCCCAAACCCAGCACAGTTCCTGGTGTTTGGTAAGTAGTCAATATATCTACTAATTATTGTTGAATGAATAATTGTGCCCAAAAGCTCAGAAACAGAAAAACTAGAGAGAATTTTGTTTAAAAACATGCAGCTAAAATAACAGATTTAATCACAGGAATAAATCAAAGACATCACCTACTCCAGTGACTTTTTTAGCTATCACACCCCAAAGTCAAGCAGATCATGACAGAGGCAGCTCTTGAACTCAATAACCCTATGATACTCAAAACTCACTGCTGTCAAGTCACATCCGACTCATAGCAACACCTCCTTGGGTTTCCAAGGAAGTAGATTGCCCAACCTTCCTTCTGAGGAGTGGCTGATGGGTTTGAACCACCAGCCTTCTGGTTAGCAGTCAAATGCCTTAGGCACTACACTATCAGAGCTCCTAATCCTATGATAGGGACCCTGATTGTTGTTATCAGTCCTAGAGACATCACTTGAACCCTCATCATGGAGACACTGCTTGCTATTATCAGTTTTAAAGGTAGCTCTTGATACCAATACCTCTTTGATGGGAATTGGCTTATGATCACTAGTCCTAGAAGTAGAGCTTTAATCCAATATCCCTATGATGTAGACCTCGGTTACTATCACCAGTCTTAGAGGCAGTTCTTGAGTTCAATGCTCATCTCATGGAGGGACTCTGCTTGCTTTCACCAGTCCTCTCATGTACTGTGGTCCTGGGAGAAGTCTTCACCTCTCTGACACCAACTCCTCTTCAATGCCCTCCATGACTTTCTCTCAGAAACTTTACCTGCTTCCCTCACTCTCTTCTCCTGTCCATTTGTACTTGGTCTATCTCTTGGGAATTTTTCAGTCTATCTCCATTACAACATTGAATGTCTGTCTTCTGTCTTCTGTAGTAGAATTCTACATGTTGTGCATCCATGTATCAATTAACATAGTGTTTTCATGCACTTGTCATTCAAATGGCTATTGACTTGATTTAATCCAACCAGTGTCTTTAGTTCCTCCCTTTTGAATGACGTGGACTAATTTCACTTTCTTTTCCTTATCTAGGTGTGGTAGTTCACTTTGTATGTCAACTTGATTGGCCCTGGTAGAGTGGCTGGGCAGCTGGTGGTAGTTATTCCCCATGATGAGACTGGCAATCAACTCCATGGTGTGATCTACCACAAGCATCTGAGTAGCTGCTTTGAATATGTGGTCTGCTTCCCATATATAAGAAACAGCTTTGGGAATGGTCTCTAGCTTATCGCACACTTGGACCCTGCATGTAGCCATGCCATTGTTCAGCAGCCTGCCATGCTCTGCTGACCTTGTGAGTTACAATGGACTTGAATTAATGGCCTGCCATGTGGTTTGGTAACATCAGAACTGTGCCATTTTATTTGTTGACCTTGGGCTTTTTAGCCTCAGCAGTCAGTAGCTGCCTGAGTGAAGAGATGCCTCTAGCTTCAGTGGGCCGGGAGCAAGAGGCAGAGCTGAAGTCCAAGGTTGAGAGGTTTTCACTCAGCCCCTAGAGCCTGGCACTTTGAACTCAGACTTAAAGCCTCCCAAACTGTAAGAGAATAAACTCCTGTTTGTTCAAGCCATCCCATTTGTAGTATATTCTTGTCAGAGTTGTACTAGCTAACCAGAACACTAGGGTAGAAGAGTTACTTATGTGCTGGAATAAAACTTGAGTCCTAGAACTCAGTTAAAGAGGAACAATGCAAGGACTCCCTCATAGACACTGGAACATAATAATATTGGGAATGAGCCTGGAGTAAGAAAGAATTTCAGGGCTAGAGTTGGGGCTTGAGGTCAAAGCAGGCTCAGTCATGAGGCTGACATGATGCCAAGGGACCATAAAATTCTGTTGGCCTGCCATGAATCCCTCTGACCAGGGACAAGGTTGTTCTCAGAGTTGTGAGTGATTCTGTGCTCATAGGTGGGAATTTGTAGTGATGTAGCTCCAAGACTTTCCAATCATAAGAGATAGCTCTGATCTAGATGCAACAATGGGTGTCTCCTCGTCAAGAGCAAAGAAGAATGAAGAAAACCAAAATTCATGGAAACAATTCGTCCTAGAGACTGGTACACCATCTGATCTGCAGCCTATACGACTATGAGATCAGAAGAGCTAAATGGTGCCCAGCTACCACTGTCATCCACTTGGAAGGGGATCTATGTAGGGGATCCTTGATAGAGAGGGAGAACAATGTGGAACAAAACTCAAAATCATTTGGAGAAAAAAAAAAAAAGGTGGGGACCAGTTTTGCTGGTCCAACAGAGCCTGGTGGAACCACTAAGACTATGGCCCCTAGCTGCCTTTCAGGTCTGGAATTGAACCTACACCTGTGGTTTCCAGCCAAACAAAATACAGGCATGTGAGTTAAACATTTACCTCAAATAGATACACGCCTTGGAGAGAACAATCATGGGAGAAAGAAGGGCTGCTTATGCACAGGGAGACAGCTCGGGG